AAGGATCTGCCTCTGGTCTGTATGTGAATCTAGTGTGTGTCTCTCTCTCCCTCTCATCTTTTTTTTTTTTTTTCTTTTCCCCCCTTTTTTTTTTTCTTAGCACTTAACATTAGTAAATCTTCCAGACTGATATACCTAAGATGTACGATAGCTAAGTTTCAACTTGTTCTGACCTTTGGGAACTAGGTTTTTGGAGTTTTTTTGTTTGTTTTAAATTGATGACTAAGTGGTGATAAGACACAACTTCCTCATATATTGTCAAAAGTATAGAAAGGTCATTCGACAATAGTTCTAAAAGCCTAACTATTTTACTTATGTGGTTGATTTTTATACAATGTCAGCTTTCCTTTTGGCTGAACAAGCATATCTAGTAGTAAGGATGAAACCAGGTGGACTGGTGAAATAACTGGGAGACACCTGTTTTAGGAAATAAGTCATTTCCTTCTGCTTATTTCCTTTTTTTCTGTCAGCATTTAATTAAGGAAAAAGAGAGGGAGTTGGTCATCTGAGAATTTAAAATGTTGAATCTATTTGCTATTTAAAAGCTTATCGGCTTTGATTTGAGAAGATAGATTTTTTTCATTCCAAATTCCTCCTCATGCATCATGGTTGTCATCTGAAAACATGAAATTGCCTGACATAATCTATTGTCTTTGGAAAGAGAATGTAATTCTAAGATAGAATCTTCAGGTCTGATTAGATTCTCTGTAGCTAGACATAAGAAAACATACTGGGTTCAGTGCAGAAGTAGGGTGTCATGAAAACAGTAGTGTATATCATTCTTGGAGGTACTAATGGAAAGCCTACAGTTTGCTTAGTTCTGTTTCCTCAGGAGAGTTGCCTCAGGATATTTGTCATAAGTGAAGGTATTAAAAAAAACCACAAACCCCTCTAAAAGTCAAGTCAGAAGGAAGTTTTGTGCAAGGATTATGAGAGAGGTATGTGTGTAAGCTCTACCAGCCGAGTCCATGGTATAAGCCACTGCTTGTGATTTTTATTGTGAATCCTTTTGATTAGATCACTGTGAAGCACAAAAACATCATACACAGTAACAGAGTAATTTTTTCAACACACTAAAATATTTTCTTCTCTTCGCCCCACTTGACCTATGAGACAGTACAGTGTAGTCATCTTTTTAACTGAATACCAGTTCTGCTCTCACTAGTGTTGCTAGCCCATTGTATTCCTGCAAAACAGGGACGTGCCACAAATCTTCTGAGATCCACTAGAGCTATTGAATACTGTCTAGTTAAATCTTTGCAGAATGCTGTGCTGCAGAGCTGTGAGGGCAGCCATAAAACCAGGAAAAAAATGTGTTTATAGAAATTCTTCTAGAAAGAAATGCAGGCTGAGTAGCATTACAGACCAAAGGGACCCAGGAGGTTGAGGAGGAATCCTTCCACTTACACAACTCTGCCCAGGCATGGCTGTGTGAGCTGTTGTGGCCACCTGGACCTAAAACCTGCCACCTGCCTTGTCTTAACTCATTCACCTTTTCTGCTAATGCAGAAAAAAAAATTAGTTTGTCATGATGGACAGTGGGGGCGGAAGGGTTTCTATGAAGAAATCCTTTTGCTTATATTTTCCATTTCTCCTGCAGTTGTTAAATCATAAATTTATCACAGCAGGAGCTTGCCGTGTTCATAATATTATATCATAGTGACTTACACAAACGGAAAAGAAAATCACATACGTGCGGTGCCAATTTTCAACTAAAATCTCATCACTTCACCCAGGCATCTTTCTTTTTTTGAATTTGGCTCAAGAGAGTTTCACAGATTTTGGAAATTATGGGTACATTCTTGCACTGATCTCCTTTGACAAATGTATCGAAGAGTTCTTAGGTATAAGTGAGCCTGGATTATGAGGCAGGATGATGGTGCAGTTGGCTGAGCCTCCTTATGAATTTGCTGGCTAGCTCAGGGATGAAGCTTTAGCCAGTGTTAGTAATCCTGATTGTCCTATCTTTATTAAAACAACAATCTGAGTTTATCTCTAGTTCTGCCATTTTTTCAGTAGATTTCCTATTTGTTTGGTGTTTTTATCTTCTGCTTTTGTTGTCTTTCATTAGGCTCATTTATTTATCTGGTCTCACATTTGTATTTCTTCAGTCTGGTGTTACACTTAAGAGCAGAGTGAGGTGTTTCATTTCCACATGTTTAAAATTGGTTTTGAAGAGTTTATAATACATTTCTGTCTAGATATTTAAAAAAAAAAAAGATTCGAGGTATGTTGCAGTGCTGTAGCACCATCATTTTTTTTCCAGAAATTAATTTGAGATAATCTAAGTTGCAGATCTTGTCATGTCTATGTCACAGTGGCATCATCAGTAGAGCTTCTGGAGTTTAAAGAGGAAAATAACCTGTATGCTACCTTAAAAATGCACTGTCCTTCTTTAATATGAACTAGCCCAAAACCAAGAGGTAAAGGCTATAGCAGTAATGGGCTTTTTCTAGCTTGAAACTGTGGCTTTTAACATTAATACTGCCAAACCAGCTAAGAGATATTGAAGAACATAGTTTCTCATTTAGTATTAAATCATCCCTTCTTTGGGGAAAGGGGGGGGGGCAACCCCCAAACCCTACAGAAGAGAAGAAAGGGAGAGGATTCAAGGAAGTCCAAGAGTCTATCTAACCTCGCAGAGTTACTGCCAAAAGCTTCTTTTCAGGAGAAGGGTTTGTAGTCTGTTTTCAATTTAAATCTGCATGTATTATGCTCACTGTTAAGGTCCCTAGACCTTAGGATATATGAGGATAGTACTGTCTACTTAGGTACAACTACAGGGAAGGATGAAGATAATGTCTCTGCCTTGAATCACCTCCTCATACACTGGTCTGTTTTCAGCTCGGAGGCCATCGTTAGCTTTTTATCCTTCTTAAATGTCTCCAGAAGAATTGAGGAAGCTAAAAGCTGTGGCCTGGTAGGCAAGGAGAAGAAAATAGTTTCATTATAGTTTTGATAAATCTGAGGAAGATGGAGAAAATCTTCTCATGTCAAAAGAATATGAAGCTGTCTTATTTCTGGCTCTCTGCAACTAGTAAAACAGGAATATCTGTGAGAATTGAATTTTTTTAATAGCAAAAGCATTGCTGAATAATGATTTGAATATTTGTAGGGGCTAGGTCTTACATCACGTTGTTTTTCGGACTTCTTACTTCCCTGAAAAGCTGCATTTAAATATTCTTTCATAGATACTCTTTACCTGTGTAGATACTGGCCTGTGTCGTTGAAGGTACTGTTCAACTGCTGTTCCTATGTTGTTACTCCCAAACTTACATGCTAACATTTTCTCACCCAAAAGAGGCGAGAGGCAAATTTACAATTTCCATTCAGTCTCATACTAAGGCATCTCTTCTACCAAAAAATTATGCTATAGAATTTTTCTGGTAAAATCTGAACTATGTGATAAAAATTATTTTTAAAATATGATTTTTTGTTATAAACACTGTGCCAAATTTTGCTATAGCTCGGGACTCAACAATATAGAGCAGAATACTATGAAGGAGAATTAAATCATGGTTTAGTTCCATCTATACTGGCAAAGCCAAATTTATTTTTTTTTTTTTTTTTAGCTAAGCTGGAAAACTTGCGTGGGTCCCCCAATACTAGTTTTTACAGTGTAGGCAGGACTGACTTTTGTGACTCAACTAACCATGTTTTTTTAATTAGATCACATCCTAAAGGAAAAATGTTACTAAAACATCTGAAAATATAAAATGGATTGGGCTTTTCTAGGAAAAGATATATATAAAACTATACAAATAAAATACAAAGATGGCAGTATTGCTTGTGAAGCTCTGCTTAACAAAAGGAAAGCTTAGAAGTTCTAGCCTCAGCAGTTCACAAGCCACTTATGTCTGTTCATTGGGAAAGGTGTATTAATAATTTTCATAAGAAATGCTTGGCATCCAAGAATCCAGGGTGTCTTCTAAATCGACTAAAATCACAATACTAGCCTTTAATTGAAATACTCTATTCCTGTGTCTGTCTGGGCTGTGCTTTTTCTAACTATTGTTTAGGGAGAATAAGGTGGGAGCATCTGTACTACAGCTGCTGTTCAAATAGAGCAATGCCTTTACTGTAGACAAAACAGTTGGCACAATTGTTTTAATTTATTTGTTTATGAAGAGCCAGAAATAAGAAGGCTTTATATTCTTTTGAAGTGGGAAGATTTTCTTCATTTACTTGAGATTTTCAAAAAAATGTTTGTCCAGAGGGTATTTCATAAACTAGCTTAGACAACTATCCAGCAACTTTTTTATTTCTATGACATGAGGAAGAAGGAGATTCCTCTCTTTCTGTGCATCATTTCTTGGGATTGTTAGGTTTGATATGAAAGTATTTATTAATAGTTTCCAGAAAGATGCTGTGATATATTTACAAGAACTTGCTGAATTTATTAGTAAGTGTGCAGAGGACAAACTGTTTTCTTTTTAATCTGTTCTTTTTCCCTAACTTTCCTAATGAGTAGTTTTAATCTCTTTTTTTTGTCTTCAGCTGTTAGATGTGGAATCAAATACATCTGTTTTTAAATCAAATTCTGTAACAGGAAGTTCTTCTAATTAGCTTAACTTAAAATTAGTGTTTGCTCAGTCTTCATTACATTCACGTTTTAAAAATGACTGTAAGGAAGTATATTAAAAAAAGAGAATCTAGCCATTTTTTATCTTTGGGCTCAGAAGCAGTATTTTCAAGCACTGATACTTACCCTTTTCTCTGAGCTATTTATTACTTAAACAAAGGCTGACAGCAAAGCTCAGTCTATAATATGTAAATCCTTGCGGAAAAATAGTGCCAAAAAACTGTGAAAAAATGGGTCCAGGCAGCTGCGTCACAAGGTTTGACCACTTCGGGCTGGGGTGCCAGGAGATTTGAGACAGATGTTTTCAGACATGCCGCATGCCTAAAACATTTCCAGGGGTCGAGCTACAAATAGTGACTTAATAAGTGCAGAAACAGGAAAAGTATGCAGGAGGACACAAGAGTTTATTCACCCCTAGGTGCACAGCCAGCCTCTTTACATTACATCTGCCTGTCAGGGTTGGCTATTTAAGCTGTCATGCCCTTGGTATTGCTCTTTGTCTGCCTGTGAATAAAGTGCAGCATTGTGATTACTAATCCCACTCCAGTGACTTGACTTTAAATGTGGTTTTGGAGCGGATCCCGGAGTTCTGTTTGCTAAGCTTCCTACTCCTGTTTCAGAGACACCACTGGAGATCTATGAGAGAGAGCACTGCAGACTGCCCTCCTCCTGTAGACCTGTCGCCTTTTTCTCCCCCCCCACCTTTTTTTTTCCCCAAAAAACTTCTTGAAGGAAATCAATGGATACCAAAGTGATCTGTTTATTTTTCTTTTTTTCTTTGCCTCTGCTGACAGTGGGAAATCACACTGGTCGCATCAAGGTGGTCTTTACACCCAGCATCTGTAAAGTGACTTGTACCAAAGGCAACTGTCAGAACAACTGTGAGAAGGGAAATACCACCACCCTCATTAGTGAAAACGGCCATGCTGCTGACACTCTGACAGCCACTAACTTCCGAGTAGGTAAGTACCCTGAAACTGTATTTGTCCTTAGCTGTCCTCTCTTGACTAACAGAGGGAGGAGACGCTTTGTTATTAATACCAGTTGTGCATCTGTTACTCTTTGTTTGGAGGGCTGTGCTGAGTAGGAACCATTGTATGTTAGACAAGCTTTCTGTTATCCTTCGGAAATGTTCCCAAAAGTTCCTTTTGTGTCATAGAAGAAAACCTCCCATATTTTTCATCTGAATTTTCAGCTGCAGGGCTACAACATGCTAAGCTGAAGCTTTTGGTAAAACTCATCCCTCAGAGTTTGTGTTGGTAAATAGAGAAAATGTCAGATCCCACGAAAAGTTCTGTTTCCTATTTTTGCTTGTTGAATAAGTATCAAATGCACATAAAATCTAGCTAACACAGTGAATCTGTCTTCAAAAAATTGTTCAGGAGTTCCTTAAAACTACAAGCCTTTTTAAAAATACATCAGCTTAAAACTTTTGCTTACTGCTGAGAGTAAATCAGGTTTCATATTTGTCATTTTTAGAAACTGAAATAATGTTAAGTCCAATTGAAGTTATTGAAGCCAGTCATTTCTCTGTTAATGTTTATTCTTTCTGCTTGCTCAATAAGAGTATCAGCAGTATGCCAGTCTAAAGCCTACAACTGCTTGACTGTGTTGAAACAAATCCTGAAAGCTATCTGGGATAATGATTAGCATATTTTAACTGTACACTATATGATATTGGTAGGAATTTGTGTGTAAGTATCAGTCTTGTAAGCTAAGAGAAATACAGATATATGGATACATACCTAAACACTTTTAGATTTGTTGTTTCATATTATGATATCCTTAACTGCTCTTGGAAAGTATTTTGTTGTTATCCTGAAAATATCATAGTATCATTGTCTAAAAAAACTTTTAAAATTAATTCTTTTGCCAGTTTGTACTCAAAGAATGCCAGATATGAACACTGTAATTTTAGTCTCTGTCTAGTATAAACATAATGTCAGGCAGTGCTGAGGCTGGCCAATACTGCCCTTTTTAAAGTGCACTATATTTCAGGCTCTGAGGGGGGGAAAAGCTATTCCAAATTATTTTTCTTTACATCCGGACACATGATACAAAGAGCAGTTCCCTCTCTTAACACTCCTACTAGACTATCAGACTGTGGGTGAAAGCTCTTGAAATTAATAACACATTCCTTGATAATATGCATGTTTGTAAAAATATGTATGTTTTGGACTAATGATAATAAAAACAGTGTTTTAAAACAGCAATACAGCACACTGAGTTTGTTTATGGTTGTTTTGAGGCATTAAAAAAGAAAAGGATTTTGTAAAGAAATGGTAAATCAAATACTTGTGTTTACTGTCAATACAGATTTTTACCAATGTTTTGGCAAGAACCACAGTTAAGTAAGTTTTTTGTTTAATTTTCTGACTACTGTGAAAGGATAGGGTTATTCTCCCCCCCTTTAATTTGACCTGATTTTTTATTGACATTATGAAATGCTGAGAACGGGCAGTCATGTAATTTGTCTGCTATGTAAATCTGTGCTGTAACACGACCTTCTCTCAAATACTTGGAGAGTGGAAATCGACCTGTGAAGACGTGTTCCACACCTTCCTTCCTGGCCTCAGGCCATGCAGCTCCGTGATGCACTGTGTACGATAGGCTGCTGGAAATATTCAACAAAAGCAGCTCATAATAGTATTTGATGGAACGATAGGGGAGTGTTATGTTTAAAAACTTATAAAAACAAGTCGCTACACATGTAGGGGTTTTTAACCTGCCTGTAGCTATCGATCTTCCCTATTACATTTAAATGACCAAAAGCGTTCACCACATCCCTAAGTATCGTCATTTTTACAGAAGAGGAATAAGAAAGAGGTCTAAACTGTGACTTCAAGGCTCTCCAGTTAAAAATAAAAGTGCTGAGTGAACTTAACTTCTTAATAGCCAGAGAGGAAAGATCCTACACCTGTAGACTGAGTTCTTTCACTGATCACAGATTTTTCAGGAGCTTTTGAATCAGGGTTTAAAATATATTACTGAAATAATTTTTATATCTGTTCTCTAACTAGTGCCTCTCATTAGCTTGGGCTTGTCCTGGTAGAGATATCTCCTGATACATAAAGCAGAAGTAATTCGGGTCTTCTGAGATAATTTATTTTTGTTACATTTTTAACATCTGTATTACGTTTTGCTTGTGCTTTTTGCTTTTAAGTCCCTGTTCTAAACTTGTTTACTTACTGTTTATCCAAAATGCATGGAAATTCTTACTCTGATCATTTGACATTTTAAAAGTGCAACCATGAAACAGAATGTTGTGTCAGAAAATACATACTTAAAGCAGCGAACAGCACTTTTTCAGTATGTTTTTTTAAAGTGTTTGTTCTTCCTAAAGCCGGAAAAGATAAATTCACATGCCCTATTTGGAAAACTAACTCCTATTACTAATAATAGGTACCTACTATGAATGGGGAAATTAGGTTGTTTAGATCTAAATGTATTTCTGTAGCAGGAGCAGCATTCTAGTACACAAGATTGAGTTTAGATTCTCTGATGACAGATTGCGGTTAGCCATCACTTTGCTTTGTTCTTAATGCATTCTTTCTAATAATGAACCAGAGTAAAATTTTGTGTATATGTTTTAAACTTTGTGCTGAACTTTGTAAACACTTTTTATTTTCAGAGATAAGAAGTTGCAGTGCTTGTACTAAAGCTACTCAAGTTTTTCCATGGGTTATTTCAGATTCTTAAAATTTGCTCAGTTTGTCATTTCAGCTGAAACTTGGTACCAGTGAGTCCAGGCAAGGAACAAATCCTGTTTCCTGAAAATTTTGTTAGATATGGATAAACCATTAAAAACAAATACCCACAACAAGAAACAGATTGCGGGAAATAGTAGCTTTTCAGGTAGCTGAGATTTTGGCTGCTCTCATGAAGAGTACTAGCATTTCAACTAAAGGTGGTGAAAGCTTGGTATTTAAAAGTAGGGATCTTCTCGACTGCCAGTCTGCTTCAGTGAAACTGGGTTTTTTTTCAGTTTCATATTGTGATTGAGATATGTTGCACAGTTAAGCTAACCAACCTCCAAGATTTCATTGGCTTGGAGAATGAAAGCATTTAATCTGAGTGGAAGCTTCTGCTGAATAGATGATTCTCATTATTCTATTGGATTGATGCATGTGCAGTTTGTATGGTATTTCAGTCCTGATATATCTACAGAGGCTTGTAAAACAGGGTCGATATATGTGTATAGGAAAGGATGCATCTAGAATAACATACGAGGTTTCTGTCTCATTCACTGTTGAAGTTACTCAGTGATGTGTCCTGTTTCTCCTCAAAATTATTCCATATTCCAAAATACCTGTTTTTGAAATGAGTTTTCTCTCTGTAAGGAGTGGGAGGACAGTGATAATTTGTAACTGGAAAATGAAGCTGTAAGGAATTAGGAAATGCCCAAATTAATGTTCTTCATGCTCTTTAATTTTTTCCCTATTGTACATAAGTATTTAATTATAGATTCACATTCTATTTTTTTTTCCACAGGATCCCTGCCTCATTCATTGCACAGGAATGACAGAACTTAGTAAAGGAAGCAGTCGTTTAATACTTAGGTTTATATTCACTGTTCATTTGCAGCCCTGCGTCTCATTTAAAGCGGTTCATTCAAACTGTTAAAAATGAGCAGTTAGAGTTGCATGCTATTCAGTGGAAGTGCATATCTACCTGTAGAAATTTTGTGACTGAGCACTTCGCAGTATCTGTGTCAAACAGGGAAACAGCAGCATTCTGCAGGTGGAGACCAAGGAGAGTTTAAGAATTTTTTTTCCCAAGACCATGAGAGATGATTGTGGCAGAGGTGGTGATAGAATTCTTGCTCTGCTACTCCTCTTTATGTCACTCTTTAATGCTCATCAGTATCTCTTCTTTTAACATTCCCTTCCCTTTTTCTTCTGCTCCCTTTTCACGTAGCCTGCACAGTTGTCCTTCCTCCTGGTTTTGCTGTGCACAACCATAGTTTACTTAGGCCGTTACTGGGGACGAGGGAATATTTTGTTGTGTGCTTTCCCTTGGAAGAAGGGCAGATTTTTAGGAACCTTTTATTTCTTGTTTCATTGAATTTGAGTGAAAGTTAAAACTGTTTCTCCTACGGCTTCATCTAGGAAAGAGTCTAGAGAGCATAATTATGCAGAACTGTGAAAATGTAAAGCAGTTATTTTACAAAAAGTTGATAGAATTTCTGAATTTTTTTCAGACATACATGATCATGAATTTCTATCAATGCTGTAGAAGTTAACATTGCTTTTTATTCAAGCGCTTCTGGTCTTATCAAAGAATTGTGTTGGTTAAAAATGGCAATGACCTGTGTAAGCAAGCCAGCACATTTTTGTCTGTAGTTTGTGTATGACAGGAAATCCAAGAGCAATGAATGGCATTTTCTTGCTGCCATTTGCTATGTAATAAAGTTTGTTTCTTTGCTCCATATGATACATGCTACACATATCTTACTACATTTAAGAGGTACTGTAAGACTATGACGTTTGAGGAGGATTTATCAATATTGTTTGGTATGAAAAGGCATTTATTGTAAGTAATATTGGAGGGCAAATTTGATGACATATAAAGACGTAATAAAAGACCAACAGCTTGTAGAAGTATTTGTGTAGATTTGTGAGAATTTGCAGACTCTTCTGGCAGCTTGTGAGGTGTACACTGTTCAGTTTTCTACTCATTTTATTCTTTGTTTTGTTGTACTGAGTTTAGTAAGAGCTGCTAGAATGGCAACATGTTAGAAGAGATGCTTTCTTCTCTATTATGAAGTGGTGTTTACTACTCGGTGAATGGCGTCAGCCTGGGTAGATGACCTGTCATGTCTGATCTATGTAACTTGTGCCTCAGCAAAACACTATTCCTATGGCTTCAGCTGAGACTTAGCAGATGTACGTGTAGCTTCTCAAATGGAGGATTTAAAATAATTGATAACAAATGTTACGCAGAGATTTTTGAATTCCTTTTG